ATATCACCACAACAATATATTGAACATGTCTCAGCTGGGAATTCCCAGAATCAGGAAAAGGTTTTACCTTTAATGCGCTTGGACATGTGTAACTATATAGCAATATTTTCCCTATATAACTTCCTTGTACTTTAACAATGTACATGGTAAACATTAGCCCAAAATCTGTCTAAATAGGAAAAATGAAAGTCTGATTAGATGCTATCTGTTTGGTAGACAAAGTCTATTTTTAAAACTAGAATCTTATCCAAGATAAATGATTTTGTGTTATGAGTAGTAGTGTGGCAGAATTTTTTAAATCAGCTTTCACTGCCTTTGAAATACATTTGTTAATTGGAAATGAAATAAGTGGCTTCAAATTTCTGTAGATGCAGCAATTCTGGTTAATATTTTTCTAAATGATGCTTGAAAATAAATATGTGTATATCAAAAAGTACTTGAGAAGCAGCTGAACATAAAAATGCTTAAGAAAAAATTGCTATTACATAAAGATATATAGATGCCATGATCAACTGATAGCCAATAATTCACTACTAATAAGTTCTAAAAAATGGATGACTGTAAAGTGTTTTATAAACCATTCTTTTCCAGTTGACATGTAGTTGGATTATGTGAACTGACTCACCATTTAAATGGGACTAGTGAGATTGGTGTGTTATTGATTCAGACAGTCCTTGACCGCAGGGATAACACTTGCTTTAGCAGAGGAAACTGACTTTTAGGTTAGAATTCACCGTCTCTCTCTGTATCTCTGTTATTTGACAACAATGAAAACAAAAAGATTAGGAAAACAAAGCATCAGTTAATACCGGCAAAGTCAAGCAGCTTTGCTTTGGAGGCTTGATCTGATGAAATAGTACCAGTGTTCTCTCATAAGAAGAGTCAGGAGATTCTGGGGGATTTACAGTAATTCTGATTTGCATTTTGGCCCACATTGTTCTCTCTTTAATATAAAACCCACCCATTTTATTTTGTCATTCTTTTTATTTATTCACTACAGCTGTGCTTGTAGCAAAGATTCAGACCCAAGGCAGCAAAACCTCTCACTCAAGTTTAACTTGTAGCAGTTGCATGATCATGCCAGGGTTGCCAACTGTCAGTAAATTTACTGACTGTCAGTAAAAAATCAGGCTAAAAGTGGCTCTCAGTAAAGTTCTAGAAAACTTTACCCACCAGTAAAAACACTAAGCAGCCACAGCTTGATTGAACCTCCAAAAGACAGAATGCAGCAGTGCCACCCGGTGTCCAAGCAGGAGCACAGCACCCTGCAGGGTGTGTTTTCTCAGCCATGTGCTGCTGTATCCCAGGCTGTCTGTAGTACTATTAGGTCACAGGTAGGATTCTTTGGTGGTCCATTGTAAGACAAGGGGGAGCTGAGCCAGCAGAGGTAAGGCTGGTGGGGACAGAATGGTTCAGGATGCAGTTGGAGGGTATCCAGGTGTGGGAGTGAGTAGAAGGTCCCTAGTTGGAGAGGGAGAGAAAGACATCACAGTGTAAGACCATTGCTGCAGTTGAGCAGGGGTGCCAACTCAAGAAAAAAAATTGTATTGAAAACTTTTTTTTGCAAAGCTTGACATACAAACTTAAAATTTTCTAATCTGGTTTATGTTAAACCCATAAATTTGAACCCAGACCTTCTAACTGGGGCCTGGTATCAGGGCAGGGCCTGGTAGAAGAGTTTCATTTATATTATTTAAAATGTATATCAGTAAAAAACATGTGTCAGTTAAAAATGTTTGGTTGTCAATAAAAAGTTTGCAGATTGTCAGTTAAAAAAAATATTTGGATTAGCATCCTGGATCATGCCCACTTTATGTTTCTGATCTCTCTGAGGATCAGCACCAATGTCCTATAGTTGCATGGTTTTCAAACATGAGCTTTTGAGGTCTACATTCAAATTCACGTATGTGAATTAATGTATGGCTCAATGGTTGTAATACAAGCCTATCATGGCTGTTTACATATAAGAACAAGGTTAAATGTTATAAGCTCTTAAACTATATAGTTAATTAAGGAAACTATGATTCTACATCAGTGAGAGCTTCTGCCTGGTAGCTAACTTACTGCTGCCTTCTTATAAAAGTAAAGTCAAATATAGGTCTAGATAGCAAAATGGAAAACTGAAATAGCCTGGATAGGTATACCTAAATGTCTTTCATCTAGCTAGGATGGGTAACAGTAGTGGTGAAGATATGGCAGCACAGGCTTCAACATGGGCTGGCAACCAGACAACTGCCCCTCCAAGACCTTTTGATACACACTCTGCTTGCAAGCCAATGCCAAAAATTTCCCTGTCTTCATTGCTTTTATTATAATACCCATAGACAGGCACAACTTCCTTTTGAAATGCAGACATATCAAAATAGAGACAAGAGTCTTATTCATTTAAGAATGACTGCTCTCAAGCCCATAACTCTTCAGTCACTTGCGTAGTTGCAGCACTAGTTGCAGCACCACAGGTTGATGCGTAGTTCTACTCAGTACAGAGAACTAACCATAGGTGGGCTTTAATGTTATTTGTGATCACACTGTCATAAGCCCACTAGTGGGGGACCCCTGGAATCCCAAGTTTTCTTCCTACTGTGCTGCCACTTGCCCCAACAAACAGACCTAGGTGCCCAAAGATAGCTCCCTATCCCAGGAACTTCAGTTTCACTGCCCTTACCTTGGACTCTGCAGCTGTCATGAAGGATTCTCTGCCAGCCCCAGGTGGCCACTCCATTTTTAGTTTCAGAAGTAAGCCTGAGAGGAGCTGCTGAGGAGGAGCCTGAAACAACCTCAGTGACAAACTTCCACTGTGGACTGAAGCAGGTCAGCAGATTCAAGTGAATGGGTTGTAGGGTGGCATGTGAATGGATGGGTCCTAGGGTGAGCTAAGATGGATCACTAAAGCAGCACAGACAAGCCTTCAGATTCTCCCAACCCTTAGTCCTGTGTATGGCACTGCATTATACCTTCTCTGCCTGCCATTTATCATGTTCCTAGTAGCCATCATTCCCCAAACTTGAAGTGGTCATTCTGGCATGACTCCAGCAGGTACTGCATAATGTTGCAACTGCTGAACAACTACTTTTTGTAGTACAGTAAGTGCCTACTACTAAGAACTTATTACTAAAAGAAGGCCAAGCTTTAGACTGAAGATTAAGCAATAGTGCTACTTACTTGACAAAGCAGATCATGGCCAAATAATATTAACTCTCCTAAAAAGTAGCTTACCAAATAAAGCTTCAGGCCTTGTCAGTACCATTTTATATTGTGTCCTAAAGAAATACATTAGTATTGAAAGTGACAACCCTATAGTATAATTCATGCTAAATTTATTATAACGGGAGGCCCCAAATGCCATATGGCGCTGATGCACAATGTCTGGATTAGTAGGAAATTACCGTACAACACTTTCAGAGATTTAACAAGTTGAGATGAGAGTTTTACCTTCAGTTGCTATTATTTCTAGTTGATATAATGGCTCCCAGGTTTTGAGAGCCTCCTTTTTTTTCAAATCCCAATTTTATGTCTATCATGCTGTCCTAGCAAGGAACAAGTCACATGTCTCCACTAAATTAAGGTTCTCTCATTCATTCCATTATCAAAGCTTATTTTCCAGCTTTCATGCACTGGTTCTTTCAAATCCCATGTTGCAATTCAGTTGAGATCATTTTAGTTCTGGGAGGGAAAAACAAAACACATAGGATTTTTTTAAAAACACAGCTATTTGATTTTTTTAAGGGTAATATAAATAAAAGCAAACACTCACCTGCTCTCCCCACTTCCAAACTTGCACCACTCCTCTTATTCATTTGCACACATACTTTATCTCATTGTGATGCAGTATTAGTATGTAGCATTTGGAAGCAAAAAATCTTACTCCCAAAGGATATTATCTTATTTTGTCAGTAATAGCATTGATTACAATGGGATTTTTTTTCAGAGTAACATGCTGTTCAGCAGAAGTAAGAACCTGAGAATTTAGCCCATAGTTATTAATTTTACTAATAAAATTAAACTTTCAGTTTTTCTGGGCACATTTCCCAAATGTTTGGAAGAATGATTATTGGTCAGACTTATGTATAGTTTTCTTTACTAATCAGATTTCTTTTTAATTGTTTGAGCAGGGTTGTACTAAACCCTTTTTAAATATTTCTACTTGAATTGAGGAAGCTCCCTTGCCCAGCTTCTAAAGTGAAAAGGTCAAGTGAATTTCCCTGGAATTTCCAGACAATCACCAGATATTATTCTGAGAAGAGATTGTCTAATACCTCTAACAGCTGTATGTGGTTGTTTGAGAATGACATTCACAGTCACATTCATAGTCACACTTATGAAAAATCAAAGTGCCCTGCTAGAGTAAACAAACTATTGTTGTTCACTCTGGTTCCTAAGTAGTCCAGTTTCTGAAGATATTTTCCATTTAGGACATTTAATCATTTGTTTCTTTGGGTTCTTAATGTTTCATAACACTCAGAAATGAAGAACTCTTGTATTAGATATAACTTACATGAAAAATACATATTTCAGTGTTATATCTGGGCTGATGATCCTCATGTGACAAAAATGTGGTAGCTATTGGTTCATCAGGAATCAACTTTACAGTACTGTGGGGAATGTAACCCATACAAAACATACCTTGTTATATGGTATTCCCATCTCATGACCTGCTTTTAACTGGACAAGTGGTGTCATCTGTCAGACAATACACCTATTCATATACCCAAGTCTACGGCAATGCCTAAAATGAGATCTTTAACTTATGTCAAGTTTCAATCAGACAGTATAGCTTAAGTGTGTTTTTCTAGGCAGCAAATGAAATCCAGTAGCTACTTTACATTTATTCCTAGATAGATCAACATAGCATAAAATAGTAGTCCATAGATCAGTATGAGACATATTTGAAGATGAACCATGCTGACAGAGAAATGCTTTCACTTCAACAAATGCTTGAAGCACCTCATTTCCTATGAGCTAGATTATCTTTTCATAAATTGTGGACAACAGATAAGATGAGTTTAGCCTCTGCCTTTGTTGTTGAATGTGGAAAGCTGATCTGTGAGTAATGGAGCAAACAGAGCAATCTGTTCCAGAGCCCACAAGAAATTTTCCATTGTTTGGGGAACGAATCAGTCCATTCTCTGAATGAAAGGGAAAGTCATGCTCAGGAACTGGATTTGTTGCAATGATCTCCTTTAATGCATCGCACTAGTTGTGACATTCTTGCTCATATTGGGGTCCTTTATGTGCTTTGTATCAGTTTTATTTTCTTACCAGGAAATTGAAACACCTGTATATGTAGGAAAGTCAACCTTTTGATGCTTTTGGGCTTAGAAATATGTCTGCTAATGTACTTCAACTTAAAAAATATGTTTGCTAAAGGTTTTGAAACAAGTTATGAAAGGTTTGCTAATAAATCCACCTCTTTATTCATTCTGTATTGCTGAGATGTCCTTTAATCATGAAATCCACTTAGTTCTGATGGTCTTGCTGCTTATGAGTACAGGTGCTTGAAAGGTTTGCACAGAATCCAGGCCCACACAGCATACACACATACCAACACATACACCAATCAAAATTGGTTCAGATTCTCCTACTTCTTACAAAACTAAGTAAATTTTAGAAAAATCACCCCCTCCCCCCAGTGGAGATGATGCTGTTAGAACAGCTATGACCATAACACCCCCTCCCTTAGATCTGGAAATCCATTTTCCCAAGGGAAGGAACCAAGGCCTTGTTGGAATTTTGGGAGCTGGGAAGGGCAATAAGATATTTAAGTTTTTCTGAATGGGAAAAGTTCAGTTAAGTGAAGGTCTCTCATCTTTTGCCCACACAGCTTACCCAAGGGCCATGGAGGACTTAGTGGAAATGGTTATAAAATGGTCCTAAATGCCCTTCAGAATCTATAAATAATTAATTGGTGTCACCAGTGCTAGTAGGTGATAACCATTACCAAGTTACTCTATTTATTGAAATTGTCACAATATTTGGTGCTAGTTGAGCCCCAGCTAATGGAATCAAGAGTACCAGAGATCTCAGCTATCGTTCTCTTCTAAAATGAAGGTTTTAAAAAGCATACTGAATTTGTTATTATTTATCTCATAATTTTTATGGCAATCTCATGATTATTTAAGGCCTGTCTTCTAATTTTGTGTAATTGCCTGTGGCATTCACTGGAACACTTTGCCTTTTTGAGCTGCTCAGACGCAGCTGTCTCCCTTTGGATCAACAGCTTGGCCTCCAGCGAGCTTTCCTAAAAGGATCCCTAAGGGTTCTTTCCTGCCACATCTTTGTTGTTATAGACTATTGCTGGGAGGAAGTTCACTATTCCAGCTTCTCCTGGTTTCCTCTTTGGTCACTTACTTAGGTCTTTGTCTTGGGGCTCTGCCTCCCCTACACCCCAACTTGTGCCAACCAGTGATGATGTTAGTCTTTGGCTGAGGCTAAAGTAAAGTCAGCCTGCCATGGCTGGGGCTTTGGTCCTTATCTAATCTTAGTCCCAGTTTGGATGGTGTACCGTCCTTTTGTAGGCCTCACATTGGACTGACTCGTTATGGTGCTCACCCCAGAGTATCTTCCCTCAGGAAACTCTCTCTCCCTCCTCCAGGGGTTACTCACAGCTTCAGTATCCGTTCTTCTTTTTCTCTTTCTATAGGTTCACCACTGTGCCAGTCTCCCCCAGCATCATCCAGGATCCACAGTCTTGAGAGAGATAAGTACCCTGGCTCCTCTGAGCCAGCCTTAGCAG